TGTTTGTCAAGACTGCTTTATCCAAGGAATGTCCTAACGAGTTGCGCGGCCATGGCCGCACGAATTTTAACAAAGTCATGCAAGGCCGCCACCCAAGGAAGAACCTGGGGGTAGGCCGACCTGAAGAGTTGCCAGCAGGGGCGTTTCCCGCCCTTGCGCCCTCGTCTTTGCCCGTCCCCAACTTTTGAACGGATTGTTCGAAATCATTGGTCTCAGAGCGCTTTCCCTTTCTAGGGATGTGTTTTAGTTTTGTCTCGGCCCCCTTGCGGGGGTCGAGGAGCATCCAGCCCTTTTGTCGTCGTGTTGCGGCCCAACCGTGTGCTCGCTCTGCCATCAGCGTGGAGCGAACGCAGCAGGCTGAGATGGTTTTCCCCCTGCTCCCCCCAATGCGGGTGTGGGCGAGGGGGGCGCCGCTGTTTCCACGGCACTGCGGGACTGGCAGCCGTATGGCGTGAGTCCCCCCGCAGTTGCCGTGACGTCAGCGGCGGGGCTGGGCTGGTGGCGTAAGTGGCATGAGGCGCCACCCAGCCTTGCCCCTCCTCTGGGGGGAGGCGCCGTCCCCCCAGAGAGTACGGCTTGGCAGTTGTTGATGTTAAAAAAAATCCCCCTCCTCCTCCTCCTCCGCCTCCTCCTCCTCCCCCCTCCCCCTCCCCCTCCCCCCTTCCCTCCCTCCCTCCCTCCCTCCCTCCCTCCCTCATCTCTCACTTCTCCTCCGTCCCTCTCCTAGCTCTCTACTTCCCCGCTCCCTACATCACCTTACTTCTCCTCCCTCCCTCGCCATCACTCCTTCCGTCTCCCTCCTCCATATCCAATCTCGATTCCTTCTGCCATCCTCCGTCTTCTCCTCCTCTTCCTCCTCCTCCTCCTCCTCCTCCCCATTCCTGCTTCTCCTCCTCGTCCTCCTCCTCCTCCTCCTCCTCCTCCTCCTCCTCCTCCTCCTCCTCTTGTCCGCATGTCGGCCATGTCGGGCATAAAGACCTTGCTAAACGTTCACGATTTATACCAAGACTGGAATAATCCGAGAACCGACAAGACTGGAGGACGGACTGGGCGCCGCGGCCGCTCAAGAGCGATCTGGAACGTTCCGAGACCGTTCCGGAACGCTCTAATGGATCCTCATCCCATGCCTGCCTAGCGAAATGATTACAAGTTGTCGTCAGAACCACCTGCGCCTGGACAGCAACATCCGAACACAACGCCCAGTATGCCAGTATGGCGCTGCGCGCGCTCGGGTGTCGGGCGGGCCTTGATCGAAGGAACATTTTCAA